CCCCTCCCTCCCCTCTCCTGTGGAGCAGGTTTTACGCCTCTCTCCGCTCCGGGAAGGACTGGAGGATCTGGACGGACTGGATTCCTCAGAGTTGACGAATGTCTGCATGTTCATCATCACCTGCTCCTCTAGCTTTGCACAGTTTACTCTGAAACTCCACCTTTCATATTGGTTTACATGTACACAACATCACAGTAGGGTGTTAAATGGCTACAGGTGCCCAGGAGGGGTTCATGTGTGCAGGGTAATACATATGCAAAGATTTGTGCATTGCTTGTACAACTGTTGTATCGTTGCTTTTAGCGAGTCCCTGAGGGCAGATTAACTCTAATATTACAGAGGGAAGAGCGTAATGAGGAGCTTTTCTTTTACTGCCATTTTATATTCTCATCCACACAGTCCCTGCAGAACTCTTTGCATGAAGACGTAATGAACCCCCCACCCCCCATATGTGTGCATTATAGGGAAACTGTGCACTGTACCCCCCTCCCTGAAAATGCACTGTACTGTATTATTCCTCAGTTTCACACAGAGGGACCCACACAGGAAGCTGCTTTTTATTACCGACAGACATGGAGGTAATGTTGAGGACGGAGGGGATCGATACGGATCAATAGCACTGTAGTGTAATATAGGTAAAATACCCATCAGTGGAGATTAGACACTGAATATGAGCATGCAATTTGTTTTTAGACCAACAAGTGTTTCTTTTTAGAGCTCCTTACAAACGCCTGCTTCTCACATTAATGAGTGTTTCTTTAATTAAGAGCTCATTTAGGCGGAAAATGGAAATAAAAGTCTGGATGTGTCGTGCGTAAAGCCACTCCTGCATGGAATATGTCCAATATGGCACCGGGGTGTTGTTATGTAAAGACCTGATCATGATAAGAATTGAGTGGAGGGAAGTTCCTACCTGGACCGGGTGAGAGCAGCGCGCTTCCCCAGCTTTGAGCGCTCCAGCCCGGCTACAGGCTCCGCTCCTCCTCGGTACCCACACGGAGGTGAAAAAATAAAAATTAACAATCCACAACACTGGGGGAAGAGACCTTAAAACCAATCAAACAATCCAGTCGGACAGACAGCTGGGGTGGGTTATTCCTCCACAATTTCCTCTCTCACTATCTTATTTCTGTCCAGTTTTTTTTTCTGTCGTGACCAAAAAGCTGTGCGTCAATCCGGCAGAAAAACACCCGTCCGGACTGGGGTCACTTTGCACTCCGTGGATGTGTCACCACCGGGTTTGTACCGACAGCATCCTCCGCTGATGGCACGCTTCTTTGGGGATGTGGTGGTGGTGGTAGTGGTGTTGGTGGAGAAAAAAAAGGGGGTAAAAAGGTTTAAAATCACCCAAGCAACAAACACTATGTCCGGTATGGGAGTTCCAGCAGCGGTGCTCCGGTTAGTTTCCACCACGACGCGCAGTCACCGTTTTGCCGCTGAACTCTTTCCGCTGCCGGTCCTCAGGACGCGCTGCACGGAGTGTGAGGAGAGAGTGGAGAGATGGCAAAGGACTGCGCTCCTTCCCTCCCTCTCTCTCTCCTCCCCCCCCCCTATACTCTCTCTATACACTGTATACATGGAGGCGGAGCGAGCATCCACCCCAACAACTAACTCTGGATCTCCCAACATTTAGTCCTTTTTCTTTTTTCTTTTTTCTTACAGCATATGGCAACTTCTCCCGGGATGCCACAGGGATGGATGAACCAAATCTGAAATTTGGGATTTATTTTTTGGCACAGTGGAATTTTAACAAAACATTTTTACATGAGTGAATGGATGGGAATTAATACATTAGAACACATACAAAATATATAAATATATATTGACACTAGAAGTAAAATAAATCAATCTAATCATCTAAACATGTTTTGCTTCTTGAAGTCTACTTCGATTTCATGTACATATCGCACTTTTTTAAACTCTTCATTATCCGACATCAGGTTTATATATAGGCTATATTCAATTTAAATATATGTAACATTAAAAATGTCTATTCTGAATAATGAGTACTTCGGATTTTTGCTACTTCAAGTATGTTTTGATGCATATACCTTTGTAATTTTCTAATGAATACATGATGTTTTACACGGTGGTAACTACTCCCACTGGGATCTGAGTACCTCTCCCATTTAACGTAGATTTTTTCAGTGTAAAGGAACAAAAACATGTATTTTACTCCGGTACAAACAGTGATACACCCACTGTCTTCCCTCTTTTTCCATTTCCACCCGTAACCACAGTGCATCTCCCTCAGTCTCTCTCTCTCTTTCCCTCCCTTACCCTCCCTCTCTCTCTCTGCTCCGCTGCAGCCTCTCTCTTGCTTTGAGCGCCACCTACAGGCCGGAAGTGGCACTATGAGGAGGAGGAGAGGCAGGAGAAGAGAGGAGAGACACGTATAATACAAATAATAATATTTTTTTTAATACAACATATAAATGTTTGATTTGGAGAACAAAAAATGGATTTTGAAATACAATTTCGATTAAATTAGAAAAATATGACATTCACAAAAACAGTTTTCTCCACATTTCTCCTCGATGTTTGGGATGTTTTAATGACATGTTGCTTAAAAAAGATCATAAATGTTAGAACATGAAAGAAAAAACAATGTGTTCCTGTCTTTAATGTCCTCAGCAAAGATTTGCCTTTTTCTGAAACATAAATATATAAAAAACAGTGCATGGTGTAAAGAAGGCCATTATTGCTGCAGTGTGTGTTATGTGAACGCAGCATGTGGTGTTACCCAAAAGCAGCTTACAGCACTGTGATATTCACACACCCACAACACACACACACACACACACACACACACACACACACACATATGGATTATGGTTGTTGTCTTTTTTTTGCATATGGCCGCTTCAGTTTCAGTGCATCTGCTCAGGGAGCTAATCCAAACGCGTCATAAACGAAGAATTAGAAATTAATGGAAACACATCACTTTTAGAGTGTAAACAAAAATATGTTCTGGTTTTTAATGACAAAACAAAGACATGAGGTTTGAAAAGTGAAAGCCATATATAACATGATGTTATAAAAACACTTTGACCAGTTCAAAATTCATGCATACAATAATCTAAGTGTAAAAAATGACCTAAAATTATTTAAAAAATACTTTAAAGGTCACATGTCATGCTTTTCCGGTTATTACCCGTCCCCTTGTGTGTTATGAAGGTTTTTCTGCATGTAAACGGTCTGCAGAGTCAAAACCCTCAAAGTACACCCAAGTAAAACTCTAACACAGAAAATACCTCCCTAAAACGCCTCGTTGGTGAAACGTCATCATGACCTCATCATCCATTTGATTCTTCAGGGTACGTGCTTACGAAAGCACGTACCCGGAACTAAATGGGTCAATCCGTGGAGCCGTTACGTTACGTCCGCGGAGCCGTTACGTTAAGCCCCCGCTGATTGTTCCAAATTGACCAATCCACACACACACTCAGTGCAGGCAGCCCTGCTGACTTCTGCTCCGTGCTGATAACAGACAGTTGGGATCGCGCGAAATTCTCTCTGCAGACCCATTCTCACAGCGTTTATAAACCTATAAACCTTTTTCTTACTCAATTTCAAGCCACACTTATTGTTTATATTTCGGCTGTGACTTTGTGTGTGTTCAGGTTGAGTTTGGCTGTGTTTGGCTGTGTATCGCTAAACAAGGAAATCACGGCACCTCCACGGAGCTCAGCGCGATTCACAACGTACCGACAAATCAGAGCACACTGGGCTCACAGGGAGGGGGGGCTGGAGCTATTGGAGCTACAACGAGCTGTTAAAGGCAGAGAGTGAAATTCAGTGAATGCACGTAGTTTACAGAGATGCTGTATGAGAAACCAATGTGAGTTTGGAAAATTGCACAATATAAATATATTCTAGTAGACCTCAACAATGGAATTATGATCAGTGGAAATGGCCATGACATGGGACCTTTAAACATCAGTGTTTGACATCAAAGATCCTGCTCGTCCTGTTTCTCCTTCATGAGTCGGTGACTCCCTCTGCATTGCTACACAGAAGTTTCCT